CACATCCTTAAAATAAGGCAAAACTGCCATTTTGGCTAAAAAAAATGCAGTTTCTCCGGATACGTATACAGACAAAGGAAGGTGGTTTTTGATCACTCCATAGACACAGAAGTCGTATTTCAGTTGATCCTTCATGAGGATTAGATCCAATACATATACTTGTTTTAATGGGTAAGAAACTCTATGAAGAAAACAATACTGATTTATACATGACTACCATGCTTGAAAGCATTCGTTTATTCAGTAGTGCTGAGTAATTCTTCATTTTGCTTAAGCGATTTCTACCCTTCTAAGCCATGTACTAGAACAGATGAAACAAGATGTCAAAGAAACGAATGCGGTGCCAGATGTTTTTCATTCTCTTCACTATACTTTCAATGCGCTTGTAAACTCTTGAAGCCAACGTTTTAACCTCGTTCCTAGATATGGGAGAAAATATTTATCGCTAGAGTACCCTGTAAATGAAGAAAGCAACTAACCTGAATCAGAATGCAGTGATCGGTTTTAATTCCAGAAATCCGAAAATGAACCGCAGGGAAGAATGCCTCATTATCACGCGTGATATAGGGCAGTATATAAAACTGCTTTTCTGATGTCAGGGGCACGTTATACTTCCACGTGATTTCTATGCGGTTGGTCTCTACGTTACATACTTAGTGGAAACCTCATAGAAAGCGGTGAGTGTGCAAAGCTGTGTTCAAAGTGATTGAAATCTTGGTTTGGGGTTTCTTTGTTTGGTTATGGAGGCGTCTGGCCGAGTGGATTGCTATCAACTTGACCTTTCCAGGCTCTGAAGAAGGCGAAATCCGCCGAAACGTCAGCTTAATCGTGAACAAAGAATAATAACACCTCGCGTTTGCTCAACAAAAATACGAACAAAATCACTTGATCAATGCCGAGGTTAATAGAAAGTCGGTCGTGGCAGTTACTAAAAGAAAAATTGTTCAACTAGAGATAAGTCTCCCTGAAAGGCTCGAACACTTTGCAAAAGATTCGGATTTATCACTATAAAAGTCAAACGACCAGTAGCCTCTGCAATTTAGCACCTAGGTAACTTAGGTGAAATGAAGAAAAGGCTTCAGTGGCGGAGGGATATATTTTCTTCGACACTCACTAAACCAAGAAAGCCAAAAAGGAGAATAAGCTATCATAAATGAAGCATTTTAGCGAGAACTGTAAATCGACAAGTTTCGTCGCAACTGCCGATCAAAGTAAACAACGAGCACCGAATGTTAAAACTAGAATTCTCTGCAATTATACTTACAAGATGAAGGATTCAAACAGCGCTTCAACTCAAGGCATATTACCACAACGTTGCTGAGATATTTGCAGAACTCAGGAGGGTAGGTGACTGCGGTTGGGAACGAACACCATATTACCCTTTCTGGGGGCTAACGCATTCACTATCACCCGTTTGGGTCTTTTGTTTCGCCCTTCTCTCAACTATATATAATGCCTATTTGAATTTGTGGTTGACGTCGATTCTAATCGCTGTTCACTATTTTGCTTGTGGAGCTCAGATAGATGCTCATAGTCCTCATGGTCTCATGAGTGTGGATTGCGAAGCACTTCCCATTCATCTAGTTGTCTTGCAGCAGTCCCCGGTACCATTACAGCCCCCTTGGTAATACTGCCAAGAATTTTAAAAAATAAGCACCGTAAAAGGGCTTTCTAACAAGTGAATATTCGATCCTAATGCGCTCACTGCAAAGTCGGATTGATTTCTCCCGTAGCTTTTTGACATTGGTTCTCTTCGAACTGCAGTTTATCTCCTTCAGTGGGCGTGCTGAAAAATAACTGTGCCAATGTTACATAGAATTTCAGTCGTTTGAAAAACCTGCTTCTCCATATTTAGCGCCGCAATCCTCATTCGAGGAGGCAGTCTCAGACTCAAATCAAGAAAAAATTCTATTAATTTTTCCTTTATTATTGAACTTTTCTTCTTCATTACTTTGTGGTTCCACTTCACTTAGCCTTGCAAGTCTTCCAGCAGTGGCGTTATGCCTCAATATCCTTAGGCTTCAAAACGTTTTTGTCTCTCGCAAGAGTTTTCTGCAGTTGTTTTTCTTTGATAGAATCCAGCACATAATTGTGTAGGTCAGGTATGCATTCGACTACCTTTTGATACTACGATTGGAATCGAATTGGCCCTGTCATCCATAGGGTTTTCAGCTGTGCTTCTGCGCGATAATTATTCCGGGAAATAGGATCTCCGTTACGAATCGCATCCAAGCGATTCACACAGAGGTATTTGAATGTTGCTACAATCCGTCGATCAAAAGCTAATCGATTAACTAAACAATGGGTTACTCAGGCGAATCACTCATACGCCTCTTCTTCGTCATGTGGATGACTACGTTGTTAAATCTTAATTTAACGTCACAAGAGTTCTTTATTTTTGAGTTTATGGCTGATTTTTAACGATTACGTTGGCCTATCGTCTGTCACAGTGACATCCTGGTTTGCCTACTTGTTCAACCCTTCGCTTGGCTAACCTCGTGTGCATCGTAGCCTTATTTTTTTCAGAAACAAAACGAGTTTTTAACAGAAGTTCGAAGTGGAACTTGTATAGTACGAAGATTTCAGAAGTCGTGTACATCTCGCGTAAATGAAATGTCTAGGACATGGTTTCTGAAGTTACCAAAGCGCATCTATCACTCTGTGAACTTCAACTTATATTGAAGATTTAGGTATCTTTCGTGGATTTATCTAGCTCTATTTTAGGAATGGCAGAGCTTCACAAGAAGTCGGTGGAAAAATTATTCCCTCAAGCATAGATGTTCTCATTCTCGTTCATTCTTTTTACCAGATCATTATGACGACCTAAAGGTGAGCAACTAGAAGTTAGTAGCTTTGCATTCTGCAGCCATGAATGGTGTTTTTCTCATCATAATCGTGCAGTTCTTTAGTTACTGGACTCACAGTGTGTTTTACAACGTAATAGACGTGTTTAAGTTTAAGATGGTCTTTCGGACGGTCTTCAAGCTATCAGTTCGCGTTGTTCGGTCATCAAGATTCATTATGAATTAAACCTTGTTGAAATTTAGGTAATTACCCAAAAATCTATGGTGATCATACATCACTACGTCGAAAGAAGCAAGGGGAGACGAGGGGCCGTACTTTGTCGTTAATCCTAATAAAGGTAGAGTAGTTTCTACTTTCATTTGCTAGTTGTTAAGTTGTGACTAGTTCTTTACTGAAACTTACTTTTTCAATTGACACTTAGTCATTATTTTACGATTCAGATTTTGCCGGTGGTGTTCAGGAGGTCTGTTCATGAGCGCCACTCGTTATTTAACTAGTGATCTTAGTGTTATTAAAGATCCAATAGTGAAACAACTCATACAGGTAACTATTATTCTTTTTGTAGATTCCACTGCATTAACTCTGATCAGTAGACATTTATGACTTTCTCTTCGTTTGATGTTCCGTTCCTCCTACAAGTCAGAATTGGATTTGTTGAATTAAATTGGGTTAGGAGGTATAGAGATGAGTGAAATAAATGGTTTAAGTCGTGGGAAACAAGAAGTGTAAGAGCTAACCATGCGAAACCAGCAGTAAATTGTTGTAAATGACAGTATTTTGAGCACAGAATTTTACCCTCCTTGAAACAGGAATGTGTATCGGGTACATTCCTCCCCAAGGATCAACTGAAACTCGACTTTGATGTCTATAGAGTGATCGTCATCCAGCCAGCGTTGAGAAGACATCTCTGGCTCTTCAACTGGATGCCTTCTCTCTCCTGGAACCGCCAACATTCCGGAAAGTAGGATCTCCATCACGACTGGTCTGCCAAACATTAGCGCACAGGTTCTGCTTTTTGAATAAGGTGTGCTACGCCGAAAGCCGGAGGTAACGAGCATTGCGACGAGTTAGTATCGCCCCCACTCACAAATAGCTCGGTGTTTTTGCAAGTTCACGATGTGGTAGATTGTAGAGTCATTTCTTAATTGATGTGAATATGGATTAAGCGGCGAATTATGGTTATATTTTCGAATCTTCTTTACGTGTTTGCCGTGAATGTTGCAGATCAAAATGGAAGATCCACACGAAGGCTTCAGTTACTGCCGCTCAAGAAAAGACGGTTATGGACTAATACGTACTTCTTCCTGGTCTAAATTTAACGCGTTAAAGAGATGGCGTAAACTTCTACAAAGAGAGCTCACGGCATTCAGAAAACCGTCTTACCGATGGCTGCGTGTGGCCGATGCTTTTCCGACAGCGATCTATTGTTACCTTTTGATCCAGGTAATTTGTTTCCACTACCTATGAGGGACTCCAGCAATAGACATTTTAGCTCAACATCTAGGAACAAGAGGAAAACGATTTTTTTAATAGCTTACAAGAGCATATAAAGTGTAATGATGAGGATGGAAAACATCTGGCACCGCATTCGTTTCCTTGATCCCTTTGTTCTGATCGGTTTTAGTGTATGCTTTAGAAATGTGGAAGTCACTTAAGGAAAATGAAATATTATCCTTTGCTGCTTGAAAAGTGTCTTCTAGCGCTCGCACTGTGTGTATATCAGAGTTGGGAAGTCGACATGGTAAGTGACTTTGAGGCAATTCTGCACAGGAGAAAAGGGCAGCCTGGAGTGCTTAAAACCTTATCGTGTATGTATTCATGAAGACAAGGAATATCCGGATCCTTCCCAACAATGTAGACTCCGTTTTTCCTTCTCTAAAATGCACCTTTATTTAAGGCAGTGTTTTACCTTAACGGTGCCATCAGCAATCACCCGTAGCGGGACTAATCTGGGAAGCACGAAGCAACGAGCCCAACTAAGCTGAGGCTTTTACTTCAAAATCCTCTCCGTTCGGTCTTTTGCACCATGCGTGCACCGTGAAGTGCCTTGTCTTACTTTAGTTAAAAAATCTTTAAAGGACATTAGGCGTAAGTTTTTTATGCAAAACTCTCCATTTTTGCAGAGGAGTATAAAATATCCGTGTTAAAACTGTTGAAACGTTCTGGAAAAAGTTCAGAAGTGAACCTAAGGAAGGAGTGCTTTGTCATCACGCACGACGTTGCCTCACACTTCAGGCTGATTTTTTGCCCTGAACCAGGCACATTCCTCACCCATTTTGGACTGCGTGCGACTGGTCTTCTTTAAAAAGTGGAAGACTTATAAGGAGCAAAACCGTGAGTGTTTAAAAGAAGGTGTTCACTGTGATGACGAGGTTTAGGTATTGAATCCTTATTTATGGGATCATTAAAGTCCTTGGCTGAGTGCGTAGGGTGTCAATTTGAGTTTTATAGGCTCCGAAGAAAGAGGAACCGCCAGAGCATCAGCAGAGTATCGAACAACTCTTCTTGTTAACAACTTCGTGTCTAATCAAGAAGAACGCCTTGAGTTATAGAACAATACCGTGATTAGCAGAAAATAGGTTCTGGGAATTATTTGTAGTTAGTAGTTTTTTTTTACTGTAATCTGGACTGATAAAATTCCAATGAATTTGGTTCACCTTCTCTGTAGTTTATCATTATCATGGTGACTATTGGGAAACGCGATTTATCTCAGAGGAAAGAAACTGAGTAGTCTTTTGCAGTCCAGAACTTTTTAAGACATGGAATATCAAGGAGAATCTCCACGAGCCCTGATGATAAGCCAGGCGTGAGCAGTTTTATTCTTGTTTCCGAGTGCTAAGTGTGCTTAGTTAAATGAAAAGTGAAAAAAAAAATGAAAACTGGGGTGTTTATTGGTTCAAATGAAATTCCTATCAGGTAAGTTGAACATCCAGGTTCCAGCTTCACGAAGTCCAGCCAGTGATGTGGAAAGACCTGAATGTTTTGCTGGAAGGCAACAAGATTTTTTGTTCTTTAGTGCGCTTGCGTTATTTCGAGAGGACGATCATTTAAAAGTGGGTTACGCTGATTAGCATAATATCATATTTGCTAAGCTGGAACCCATGTTTATGTCAGGTACTGTTGAAATTCGTTTTTTTCTACTTCAAGCATTTGTTTTTTTTCACCGTTGTTATTAATTTTGTTTAGCTATCTTCTTAGACACGTTAGTCAACCACACCACCTGAGTCACCCTTTTTTTTACTTTGCAAGAGTATAGGTTTTTCCCGACCACCCTTACAGGCTGCGTTTCTTGAGGTTTTCTTCATTTTACAGATAATTGTAATTCTTCTCCTTATTTCAAAGAATTCAGTGCAGGAATTCGAGGACCGACTTCCTATTAACTTTCGCATCCATCATTGATTTGCTTTTCCACGAGTTTTCAATACGACCTTCTCAGGTTTCGGAGAAGACGAAATCCGCTGAAATGATGCCTTGTTTGAGATGAATATTTTGATAATAGCCTTGCGTCTGCTTCCAATAGGAATTTTGATGTGTGGACGACATTTAGACATGAGCACCGTAATATACGTCTGCCTAGAGTGTCGTCAGTCTTATTAAAGCTGCAGGTAGGGGTTTTCATATGACATGGAAAGATTGAAGAATGAATGACTAAGATCAGGACAAGGATGTAGGTGAATTTTAACGCGAGATTCGGCGATTTCTGCTGTTTATCGTGGTGCACATTAGGATAAATCATGTGGGGTTTTCTAACCATAAAAACAAAACAGACAAAAAGAGAAAGTACAAAGTTGGTAAAAATTCCAGAGATCATAGAGATGATTACAGAAGGTTCAACTATGGATAAAATAAACTATTTTGCTGGGTTTCTGTCGTCATTTTACTTGAATACTTAGATACTTGGACGGCCTATCTTCGCTAGTTGTGCCGGTGCCAGTACAATTTCCATTTTTTCTTTTTCGGAGAATTGCCAGTTCAGCCATTGTGGTTTCCTTGGATCCCGAGGTCAGCCTGACCAAATTTTGCCGCGGGTCGTCACCACCTCAGGCAGTTGCAGCCCTTGTGGATCAGAGGGAGATTTGCCATTGTGCGACTAGATTAATACCACAACGGTGGTCATTGCTGGTATTGGTTTACTCTTAACTAGACTTCGTGATAGAAACCCCGAAAAAATCGAAGGCTGCTTTGCTGGATTCAACACCATGAGTTGTCGTTCTAGTATTGTCCACTAAAGATATACCTATTCATCAGCAGAACTAGTCTTCGCAGTAGATTTAACCAATTTCCAGTGAATTATTTTGGCCAAAAGTAACAGATGAAAAGACATCTGTAGAAGAAGCGTGATGCCCTCCGTGTATTTCTCGAGAGAATTGAGAGCAATATACAACAGAGGCATTCGACATGGACCACTAGATGCAATGCTGGTGTCGCCTCGAGTTACTCGTTGGTTGGCTGGGTTATATTTGATAGTGCTGATTGCAATCACAAAAATAGAACATGAAATCCTCGTCGGAGATCCTTCCCTTAGAGAAGAGTTATATAATGGAGTCCATCCGTACCATGATTGGAGCGAGTGAATGCGTGATTCCCCTACGCAAGACTTGTGTGCGACTGTACTCGGAAAAACGACCCCTTTGCACGAGTTGTTCAGACGCCAGCACATTTTTATTTTGTTTCTACGCCTCGCAGTTTTCCACAGTGGTGGTTTGGTTTGGGCATGCTAGCGAATGCGAGTCTCATACCGTCGTCTGTATAATAACTGCAACTGCGACTACAGCTGACCGACATTGGTTGTGAACACGTCCGCTCAACGTGTAGGTGGTCGTCCTAGGGCATACATCCTAGTGGGGTCGTCTTTACATTTCTTTCGTCCACCTGCCTGCTATTCTTCCCTTGTATAACCGGGTCATTTATGTTTCACTATCGATTTGGGTTCTCCTGTATCTCGAAGATGAGATAGATTTCAAGGATCAGAGCCTTACGTTCCGGCAAGATGTGCTTGTGTTAGTTATATCATGAATGGGTGCTCGCTTATCACTAGACGCTAGATCGAATCAGTGACCACGTACATCAAAGGGCACCTATAATGCTACTGCGTCACACATCCTTGATCGCAACACTTTGTAAGAAAATATTTTTTCTCGGGATGTGATTTTAATAGATCTGCGAGCTAGCAGGTAAGTAATTCTTCTAGGATTTGCTTTAAAGTGATAATAAGATAATGACCGCAATGCATAGCAGATCATGAAGGAATCAAAACGGGATACGGCTGTTGTGTGGATGTGGCAAGGCTCATTTTCATTCTTCACTGCTTCATATCTGGCTGGTTTTCCCAGAGTTAAGAAAATTCTTATAAACTCGAATGCCCTGTTATAAAAACCGAAAACCTCTAGCTTTTAGATGGGCAAACGACGATATTCTAATTCGAATGGTAGGTCCTCCAGGGCACGCGAAGAGTCCAAGGTGAGTAGTAAAATAAGAGTTGATATCTAAGAAGAAATATTCATTTCTAGAATTTTTTTTACTGGCATTGCATATGGGATGTCCGTCCTTAACCAATAGTATGTATAGAGCTGATTTTGTCGTAATACATCTGAATGTTGTACTCTAATATTGGAAGTGTTAAGCAGTTCTTAACCGGTACTTTAGACTAAACAAAACAAGGAAGAAGAGTGCGTTGAGAGAAAGAAAAGAAATAATCCCATAAATGAAGAAGAAGAAGAAGTTGAAATTTCTGTGGAAACTGTAGAAGGAGATCTATCGGAATGCGCGGAAAGGAAAGAACTAGGTCCTTGTAAAGCTGCAAAACGGAGATTCGTGAAGAGAAAGCATAGAAAGATTGAGTCAGGTAAGATTTGCAGAAGTTACATGATCAACTGTGATTGATGTGGAGCGAATGAAAAAAGGCGCTACGGAACTTTAGAGTTCTCTACTTTCCTAATCGACAAACGTTTCAAGGTGGTAAATCTTTTCTAAGCTGCTACTTTATAACATACTAGTAAGGAAGCGATCGCTGCACAGCTGAGAAACTGCCATCGACTAATGTGGGGTCATGCAATGCTCTACTCCACCACTGCCTACATCTATTATAAGTTGTTGAGCGTTCTCCTCTAATGATTTTCCTGATTTTCAACTAGGTGCTTTTGCCTTGGGATTAATATCGATAGTACAAATTAAATTCAAGCAGTAATGGAAGAAAATGTACCGATTTAATTTTTGAGGAATTTCACTACGCTGCAAATCTCGATTCGGAGGATTCTCCAGAACGAATGCGACCTCATATTATCAAGATGAACGAGGCAAAAGAACTGAAAGCTACAGAACAAGACGACCGAATGAACCTTACGAGGTACGGACAATAATGTTGACAATATATGCATCAGATACCGAGAATATAAGTGATAATGCAGTTGCAATACCAAATGGTGTAGTAATTTGCTGAAGTGTGAGTTCGTGAATGAAACAAGTCATACCTATCAAAGTTATTGAGAGATAAGGAATAGCGACCCATAGTGATTGAAGCGTGCTTCTGGTGAGGTCATAGTCCGATGTTAAGCTTCATCAGTACACAACGTTTCCAAGCCGAGATGAAGTTCGACGTTTTCATGCGGCAGTCCAGCTGAGGAATTCCAGGGGTCGCTAGGATTTCCACATCTACAGTAATCGTAATACAACAAATATAACTACATCGGATGGTAATTATCTATGATTACATCAGAGAGTGTTCTCATCATTCTTTTGTGATTGAATAACTCGTAAAGAAACGTTTTAAAGAGGAGTTGTTGTTTAAAGGATTCTACATACCGATTGGTCTTCATAAATGGTAGCAAAAGGCACGTGAATAATATTTATTTCATTATCACTGCCAAATGCGGTAGAAAAAGGCTTTACCGGATTTGGTAACCGGTGAAGCGTTTTTAAAGGAGCACTTTCAACGCGTGTTTACTTTTTTACCACCGGTGAAATACGTAATGGCACTTTGGGATATTTTAAAAAATTAGCATCTAGGAGCTACCGTAATTTCTCTCACTTGAGTCCAATACAACCTTGCTTTGGATGGTATGTAGTCAGTTAGATAAAGCTTTTTCTGTAGTGTTCCGTAAATGTTTGATGGTTCTCAGGTTGTCACTGTAGGAAGAGCGCTACATTTGTAAATTGTGGTGGCTTTCTCACACGACTAGATATCCTTCAGGACGATGTAATTTGAGCAAGTGATTTTCTCTCATTTAATTACCCGAAAAACAAGTTGTTGAACTACGTAGGATACTGTGTGAGTTTTGGTTGTTGCGCGATAAATGCTGATACCGTGATGAAAACTGGACAGCTGGAAACATCCATCGGACTGTCACTACGTAAAGACCACGATATTTTGGACTTCAGTGCCTAGAGGTGTTTCATTTCATTTTTAATCTTTTTGGGATTCTTCCGAGAGTCCATCAAGCCTCTCTTCTTTTCGAGGTCAGAAATATATGCCAAATTTGTATGGAGGTGAGTTATTGTCCTATATTCCAATTGGAGAACGCCTATGGACAGACTATTACGGGAACGAGGAAATAGTGGATTCAACCAGCACTCACCGACATTTATAACGAGGGCCAAAATCCTCCAACAGTAGCGGAACTCGTATGGAAAAAATTCGAATGTTTTCGTGGACGATGGTTGCGAGGAGACGAATCGAATGCCAGGAGCTCCGGAATCCTTGCAATGAGATATGTGACGTCGGGTCATGTAATAAAGAATAGCTACCAGCCCATACCGTAATCCGTAAAATGACTGTTCACTAATTTCGTAATCGTACCTAACAATTTTGTCAATGGTTATTCCTGCTTCGTTTTTTAGACGTTAAAAGTTATCTGGCTCGATAAATCCGTTCCTCTACCGAATGCACAACATGAACGACCCTCGCCAGAAGAAGGCAACAATGCTACAGAAGAAAACGAGAGATTTGAAGGAGGATGTGAGTAACTACTGGTCCCATTCCCATTACGGTAATCAACGATTCGTTTTTTCTTCACGACCAGTTTGAAGCTGAAATTACACCAAAATGGTTTCTAAAAAGATGACCAAAGCGGTTGAATAAAAATTCACATGCTTAACCAATAATCCACTGTAAAATTCTCTTTCATCCTCTTATGCACGGTAGAATTGCCCAATGGGTTCGCTTGATGAACATGCTCAACAGAGGATGTCAACAACTAGCTGGCTGTGCCATGTCATTTAGCTTCTCACGGAGTAAACGTGAGACCACTTCTTGAATCTCGAACCATTCTTTATCAGCCACACGATTTATACGTCAAGCCGTAATCGATGTACAAGATGTGGTCCACATAAATGCTAAGTAACCCCCAAGTCACAAGTGTACGCATGAAATTGGCTATGTATATAGATGGAACAAGTCAATCCTTTGAAGAAGAAAGAGAAATCGGGTCCCCTGTATCCCTTCTAATCGAAATCAATCGTTGATCTGCGTTTAGAACTCCGTTTAACAAGAAACAAGTAGCTTCACCAACCACTGATTGCGGAATGCGTCGTAACTTTTTATTTACTGCCTACTCTCTTTTTAATGGCAGAGTATTATGTGGAATATAACAATAATGATGCTGAGATATTTGAAAAGCTCGAGCTTTCCGGGGACTAACGCGTTCATCACCACACTAGGCGAGTCCTTCGATTCGCCTTTTTCTCAGTCATGTTATTGGCAGATCGATCCCGTTGGTGGGTGATTGCTAATAACACGTATTGGTCAATAACACTGCTGAGAGAAAGGCGAAACGAAAGACGTGCATGGTATGGAGGTGTACGATTTAACCCCCAGAGAAAGTAACAACGTGTTCAGTCCTAATTGCGGACACCCACGGTCCGCAGCTTTGCAAATAACTCCGCGTTATTGTGTTTGTTACGGAATATACGATCTCGTAGTCGATGAGTTCTCCATTTGTATTCGAACAGTAAAAGCTTCTATGCCGTATACATGAGCTGACAAATTTTCGTTTCATGTGGTGTAAATAAAAGATAAGTTATGAAAATACTTACTTACTTACTCACTTAGGTACTTCGATGGCCCGTCCTCACTGGTTGTGGAGCCTCAGCACAATCTCCATTTTTTCGGAGATTTGCTGGCTAAACCATTGCGGTTGCTTGGAATCCCGAGGCCAACCAGGCTAAAGTCTGCCGCAGGTCATCACCATCGCAGGCTGTCCCAACCCTCTTGGATCAGAGGGAGGTTTGCTATCACGCGGCTAATTTAATACCAGGACGGTGGTGGCTACTGGCATTGGTTTACTCTTACTTAGGCTTCCTAATTGAAGCGCCAGACTCCTTCTTAGCTCGGTAGACCCAGCCAGGTGGATGAATCCCTCACTGTACATCGCAGCCAGATACCCACGAACACCTCCCAGCCACGATGAGGCGGCAAACCATTGCGAAGAGTTATGAAAATGTGGACTGAAATTAGAAATTTGATGGTTTATCCGTCAAAACGTCATCTATTGTCAAAGCGTGGAGTCTCATTTCCGAAGCTTCAGTAGCACAATCTTCCTGGTTGTAATCTGTAAGTATTGCGTGAAATAGTGGGCGTTTAATCATCCAGGAAAAGGAAAAGTTGAGCAAATTCTTCTAAACAAGCACTCGAACCTGATTTTTTAGTGATTTCGCCACCTGATAATGGAAGTGATGAGGAACAGTTAGGAAACGACTCTCGAGATGTATGGGATGTTAATGAGGTAACGCGTTAAGAGTAAATTCTTTGTTTAAGGACGCCTTAACATACTGTTCATGGTTGTGCTTAGATAATTCGTTGAAAGCTTAGGTTAACAAGAAATCTCAGTTGATAATTTGGTGTTTTCTTCAATAAGCAGAGACGACGTTGGTATTACAGATTTTATTAGGATGCAATAGTTGAGGTTTCGGCGGTTTCGACTTCTTCAGAGTCTGAAAAGGTAGAACTGACATGCGATCTACTCAGTCAAACACTTTCATAACCTTAGCAGATAAAACTTAAATAAATTTGCCAATTAGTTGGTGGATAGCAGCCGTACAGAGTAATACATGGGCGAGGACTGTGCTTGTGTCAGGTCATTGGATCAGTATGATGTATGGGGCTAGGTCACACGTGATGACAAGTCACTCTTCCTTGTGGTTCATTTTTGGGTTTTTGGAATTAATCTAGAACACCTCAAGCGTTTTATGCGCTCATCTTTTGGGGTCCCGCATGAGTATAGTGACTTCTACTTCAAAATCTTCTCCGTTATGTTTTCACATTCTATGCGCGCCTAGTGGAGTGTTTGGTTTCCAATTCGATTTACCGAGTAGTTATTCTTTTATGCGTACGCAACCGGGCTACGCATTTCGCCAACGTATTCGTCCCCAAATGTTTTTCTAGAGATTAGGTACACTGTACCCGAACTCATGCAATCACCGTCTCTACCGTTAGTGCAAATTATGGAGTTTTTCGTTGTACACAGGAGGTCATATATGCAGCTAAGAACTAGCTGGCGTCTTAGAGTGTCCGATGGTATTTCTATCACTTTTACGGAATTTTCTAGGTCGGTCTTTTTAAGTAACGTTTTATGGCTGCAATACCGGCGCGTCAAATAGCCATTTCAAATGGCTACGAAACTGTAGCTTCTCGGCATAGGCATCGAGGAAAAACTACACCCCAGAACGATAATTCTAGCGAGAACAAGGCTCCATTCCTCTTGCCCTTTATTTCAAACGAAATAAGTGCAGAAAAAATAAATAAATAAATAAATAACGTTGTTTAATAGGGGTCGGTCTAGCGAATTCTGTAAGAGTGATAGAAATGCCACCGGGCACTCTATGACGCCAGCC